GGTACAAGGACCTCGTCGAGCGCGCCATGGAGACGATCGGTGCCAGCGCCCCGAGGACGAGGATGGACGTCAATATGTGGTTCGACTCGGAGATCGGGCCCGACGCGCCCTGAGGCCCCTCGCGAGCGGCGCGCCAGAGGGCTGGCACTTGTGTATAGGAGGGGGCCCAGTGCGAGGTCCAGCCAAAAGGTGAAAGAAAGCACGGCGTTCCTCCACGAGCGTGAGGAGGCTACCGTCGTCTCATCAAAATCCCATCATCATCCTCACATCGCCCTCGTCCTCATCCCCCCCCCCTCCCCCCCCCCCATCATCATGAGCGCCTCAGCGTCCTCATCGTGCGCGGCGTCATCCTCATCGTCGCCCGCGTCATTGGTGGTTTTGTTTGGCCGTCAGGGCCCTCGGGGCCACGGGCGCAAACAACGTGCTGTACGTTAGCAGCCTCGTCATCCTCACCACGTCCGTTCTCATCATCGTATTCACCCTCGTCATCGTCGTTATCACCATCACAATATTCATCCTCCTTCTCATCGTCGCATTCGTCCTCGTCATCGACATCATCTTCATCCTCGTCGCGCAGCCGCCCTGGCTCTGGGGCAGCGTGCATTTTCTGATTCGCTCGGGGCCATCGCGTGGGATGGCCCCGAAGAAGCGGAGGGCGGCCTCGCCATTGCCTCCACGCCTGCCTCAGGAAAATGCAAGCGGCAGCGAAGGTGACGATTGAGCCGCCCGGCAGTGAGAGCAGCGGTAGCGGTGAAAGAAGCAGTGGTGCACAGCCAACGCCACCGCTCAAGAGGGGGGCGCCCGCGGGTGCCAAGGCGGACCCGCCCAATGGGCAGCCCGCGGCGGAAGGGGCCCGCGGCGAACGCGCCCAAGCGAGCCCGCGCAGTCGACAGCGCCGCAGCGGCGTGGCGCAAGGAGCTCACTGCCAACAACAGGCGGCTATATAACTCTATCATGCACCGCCTGCGCAAGCAGGGCGAGGCGAAGAATGCGGAGTGGACCACCATCCAGAAGTTCGGCTCGGCGCTAGATGCGGATCATTTCGCGGGCGATGCCCCTGGCAAGTCCCAGAGGCAAGCGGCAGAGTTCAATAACGCGCTGCGCCGCGCCGAAACATTGAAGCAGCGGGCTCCCATCAAGAAGGCGCTGGAAAAAAGTACGACGAGGACGTGCTGCTGACCATGATCAAGGCCAGGACCTTGGAGTCGAAGCTCGACCCGAACATCCCTAAGTGCCTGATAGCGCGGCTGACCACGGATAACGAGGTCGAGCGCCGCGACGAGGGCCGCGAGCTCACGGACCATGCCCAGCTCGATCACGAGCAGCGCGAAATCATCGAGGTCGAGCAGAACCGCGGCCACCAGCACGCGCTGCGCACGCGCGCGTCGACAAGTTCTGTCGCGAGCTCGAGGCCGCCGTCGAGACCAGCAAGACCAACGACGACAGCAAGGGGCGCAATATCCAGCAGGACCTCGAGGCGCTGGTCAGCATCCTCGGGGGGAAGGACAAGGCGCTGCTCGCGTTCAAGCGGAAGTGCTTGACCACGAACGGCGCAGGGATCGACGACAAGGAGATCGAGTTGGCAGCGGCCGACGCGACGGGGGAGACGAGACCATCGAGGGCGGCAGGAAGAAACATGTTGCGCCCGATCAGATCTGGAGGCTCTGAAGGCCCGCGGCCGCGGCGGGCGGCGGGGGGAGGGGCGCGGGCGCAGTCGCCCTCCCCCCTCTCGCTCAGAGAAGGAGGAAGGACGCGGGGGGCCCGCGACGGCCCCGCCAGCGCCGGCGCCAGCGCCGACGCCAGCACCGACGCGCGCGGGAAGCAAACGGCCACCGTGAGCACGGAGTGGCCATCATCGTCGCCGTCGTCGTCACCGTCATCATCGTCATCACTCTTGTCGTCTCCCCGCCCCCTCCTCACCCGCCCTCATCTCAATGGCCGCTCCCCCCGCCTCCCCCCCCTCCCCCCGAGTGTTCGTGCTTATTCATCTTAAGATGAATTAAGATGAATAGAGATGAGCACTTTACACATTGTTTTAATCAGTAAGCATCCCATCTTAATTCATCTTACTTCATTTAAGATGCAAGATGAATTAAGATGTGATTTCGGGGGGGGGAGGTGGGGGGGGGTGGGGGGGGGGCGACGGGGGCGGCGACGACGGCGACGCCGACGGCGACGACAATGGGCCCACCTGCATTTGGGGAGGAGCGGGGCGGCGACGACGGCAACGACGACGCCGACGACGATGGCGACGGCAACGGCGACGGCGACGACAGAGGGCCCGCCTGCATTTCGGGGGGAAAGGGGGCGGCGACGACGGCGACGACGACGCCGGCGACGACGGCGACGGCGACGGCGACGACGACGACTCGGCGACGACGGCGGCGGCAACGACGACGACGACGACAATAGCGGCGACGATAGCGGCATCGACGACGATCGCGATAGCGGCTGCGATAGCGGCGGCCAACGACGGCGACGGCGGCGACGGCGACGGGGGCGACGGCGACGACGAAGAAGGCGACGGCAATTTCAAGTTGCTCGAGGCGACGACGACGGCGACGGCGACGACGGCGACGGCGACGGCGGCGGCGACGACGACGGACGTTGGAGGGCGGATAGCGGAGGTTGGAGCTTAAAGGTAGGAGGGACATCGCTCCGCACTCGCTTTTTTTTTTTCCTGGCCGCAACGGAGCGGCGCGCGCCCGCTGCGGGCGGAAGCTGTTGCACAGCTGCGGCCTTCAGGCCGCGTCCTCGCGCTGAGCATGAGGTGGTCGTAGAAGCGCTGCCGTCGCTCAGGTTTCCTGTGCTGCGGCCTCGATCGGGTCCTTCTGCGCCTGCGCCTGCGTCCAGTTCGTGCTCGATGAGCCAGAGCTCGACGGCGGCGAGCCGCTCGAGTCCGTCTTCGGCTGCTGCTTGCAGCCCGTGGCGCAGCCCCTGCCGTGGCCGGCTTTGAACGAAGCCCCTCTCGTAGCCCTTGTCGCGGCCCGCGTCGACGCACTTTGCGAGCCCCTAATCGTAGCCGCACTGCCACGTCCCGAAGAGAACCTCGTCGCGCGTCGGGGTCTGGTTCGACTGCTGCTTGGGCTCACCGTCGTCCTCGGTGTAGTAGCCGCGCGCCGCGTAGATATCGTCGTCTTTGTCCTGCGCCCACCTATCGCACTCGCTCGCGAGCGACTTCTTCACTCGCTGCGCCAGAACTTCTCGCGGCCAACCAACGCCCGCGTGTCATCGAGGGGGGCGTCGCTCCACTTCGTCGGCGGGCACGCGCTGCCGTCGGCGTCGAACGCGTTGAGATTCTCGACGGGGACGCCGTCGAGCCACTCGGGCAGTTTCTCTTTGAGGGCGTCCTTGACGTCGGGCGCGCCCTGGAACTGCCAGGCCCACTTCCCCGCCGTCGTCAGCGGCGCGTGGGGCGGGATCCACGCGTCGGGGCCCTCCAGCCACAACTTGATCTCCATCCACTCGCTCATTGCCGCGCGCTCCGAGCACGTGCGCCTCAGCCCGTAGCGCGGCGGCTTCGACGGGGGCGCCGCCGTCGACGTCGACATCGTCGAAGGCGCTGGTGCGTCCTAGGTGCTGGCGCTGGTCGTCGGAGGTGCTGGCGCTGGTCGTCGGAGGTGCCGGTCGTCCGATGGGTCACTGTCGCCGACGCTGCGTCGGGAACTGTTCGGGCCAAAACGGCAATTGGGATGGTGATGGCGAGGAGGAGGGGAGGGGGCACATGAGGATGATGATGATGACGATGGTGATCATGATGGTGGCCATGGCGATGACGATGGTGATGGCGACGCGCACGATGGCCTTGATAGCGGCGGCGGCGACAATGGCGACGGCGGGGCGCGGGAGAAAATGATGGGACGCAGCGGGGGAGGGGGAAGTGGAGGACGCCCCGCGCCCGCGGAGGATGCATGTCTTCTTCCGGCGCCCCCGGAGAATGTGCGCGTTTCTTGGGCCGCGCCTTCCACCTCGTAGTCTGCCCCCCTCCCCTCCCCCCCCGCCCCCTCGCCCCATCTTCTGCCGCCCCCCCCTTCTCCTCCCTCGCAGATGATATATATCTATATATAGCACGTAGCTCCCCCCCTCTGCCACCCCCCCACGCGCGCCCCTCCTGTCTGTCTGCGGCCGCGCCCGCCGCGCCCCCCCCCCCCCCTCTCCGCCCCCCCCCCCCTCCGTCTCAGGCGCTCGCGGGTTGGATGGGGTGATCTTCTTTTTCTTCTTCCTCCTGATCGCCCTCTTGCCCGTCGCGCTCGTCTTGTTCGCCCTCGCCTCCAGCTCCTCCTTTTTTCTTCGCTTCCCCGATCTCTATCATCAAGGCGCGCCTCTCCTGCTCTAACTGATGGATGCGTTTCTCGGCCTCCCCCCACAGCGTTTGCATATCGTGGCACTGCTCATGCTGCTCTTCCAACGCCAACGCTCGGATGCGCCGGGGTCGCCCCCATTCCCCCCGCAGGGGGGGGGGGGGCCCGCGCGAATCCGACCCCGCCTTGCTCTTCATTGCCCATCCCTTGTTCCTCATCATCAGAATGGGAGAAGAAGGTGGTGGTTGAGAAAAAATGGTTACCCACGCGCGCCTTCCAGGGCCGCCGCAACCCATTGTCGAGCTCAGCAAACTTCCGACTCGGCGAGCGTGGAGAACGGCACATAGCCCGCGGGCCTCGGCCTCGGCACCACGCTGAGGGCTCGAGCGAAACCGTTTTTTTTTACGTTTGAGACACTATAAGACCCCACCTCCCCCCTCCTTCTCTCCTCCTCCACTTTATCCTCCTGCTCCTTCCTTAATGCCCCCTCCTCTTCCTCCTCCACCTCCTCCTCGCCCCTCGCCCCGCCGACCTCAGATCCTCCTCTTCCCCCTCCCAGTCCCATCCCGCTTGCGGGCGTCTCCCCCCCCCCCCCCCCCGCCCTCCTCCTCTTCCTTTTCCCCAGGAGGGGCGGCTGGCGCATGCAGAGAGGCGGGCGACGAGGGCGCCGCGGCGGCTGCGGCTGCTGGCCCGCCGAGGATGCCCCGACTGTTCGGGGGCCACCTGCTGTCCTGGTGCGCCGGCAAACTGAGTGCCGCGCGGCTGCAATATCTGGCGACCTGCGCCGGGGACGACGGCTTCGCCCACCCGGTGATCGCGCGGCTGGCGGGGCTCTGGCCAGATCTGAACGCGCGGGCCAGCCTGATCCGCCCCCTGCAGACCACTGGCGCGCCGCGGTTGATCACGGCGTATCCTGGCGAGTTCGCGAACAGCCCCGCGCTGCCATCAACGTGGTTTCGCGCGCTGCACCAGCAACCCCCTCACGAGTTCCGCATGCGCCTCGGCGCGGACAAGGTCAAGCTGCGCAGTTTCTGGCAGAATTTCGGCAGCAGGCCCGCCGGCGCCGACGCCGTGGCCAACCGCCCCAACTTCGGCAGCATGGACTCGCACTCGCCCCAGACGGCGCCCCCCCACCCCCCCCAACGATGCGCGCCGACGCGGGGCCCTGCTCCAAGACGCCTGCGGGCTGCGCGATCAGCGTCGCGTCCCTCGTCGGCAATGGAGAGGCCAATCTGGCCAAATTCACTTGCGCCTCCCACGCGCAGCGCTCTGGCCAGGGCGACGACTCGCTCTTCTGGCACCGCGTGCTCGAGGACCTCAACGCGCCGGGCGCGGGCTCTGCCGGGGGCAGGGCAGTTGCGCGCGACCGCGACGGCACTCGCTGGGGAGGAGCGCTGCTGTTCGTCAAGTGCGATGAGGACGCGCGGGCCAATGACTTCGGCCTGGCGCGCTTCTCGGCGTGCAACGAGGCGCTCCCCGACTGCCTCGCGAATCGCGCGTCGCGGCCATTCACTGATCTGACGGAGGGCGCTGCTTGGCGGCCGGGCGAGAGGGTGCCTTTTGACGCGTGCAAGGCGCGGGCGCGGGGGCCCAACCACCCTCCCGCGGCGAGCGCGCGTTTCTGCCACCGTTTCTTCTTCCCCGCGGACATCGTGCACCTCCTCGAGTGCAAGGGCGTGGCGCCCCTGGTCTTTGGCCCTGTGATTATGCGGTCGTTGGCGGACGTTCGCATCGGGCCGAACAATGAGCAGCGCCTGGGGCGCATCAATGAGCGACGGCAGCGGTTCTACGACGCCAGGCCAGGGCCTCATCGCCCCCCGAAGATCATGCTGAACAGCTGCACCAGGGGCGGTTGGGAGAACCTTGCTGGCCCGGCACGCAAGGCCGCGAAGGTCCGTGGCGCTGCCCTTTTCTTCAAGGACCTCGTCCTTCACTTCTGCGCGGCTGGAAGCCCCAGGAGCGCGCAGGTGCGCGGGGTGGTGGCAGCGCTGGATACTGTTTACGAGGTGCTGTGCGACGCGCCCATGCGCCCCTCCTTTGCGACGGTGGCTCGGGCGCGGCAGCTGGTCATGGAGTTCGGGGCTGCGTATCAGCGCCTGCGCGAGCTCTCACGCCGCGCTGGCGTCTGCGGGTTCGCTGCCACGCCCAAGGTGCACAAGGTTCAGCACCTCCCGCTGCTGACGGCCTGCATCAACCCTGTCAGGGTGCAGGTGTACGCCGAGGAGTCCTGGCGGGGTCGGTGACAACGACTTGGCGGGGCTCCATGAACGGGCGCTACAGGGACACCGTGCAAGAGGTCGCCCTCATCAAGCAACTCGCGGGCGTGTTCCTGCGCTTTGAACTGGACTGAACATCGAGCTATCCCAGTGCGACTCTACCTAGGAGTTGGAGCCTGTAGGAAAGCAACATTAGTAGGAGCGGTAAACGCCGTCCTCCTCCTTCTCCTCATCGTCGTAGTTGTTCATCGCCGTCCTCCTCCTCCTCCTGCTCCTCCTCCTCCTCCTCCTCCTCCTCCTCCTCCTCATCATCATCATCATCATCATCATCGCCGTCCTCCTCCCGCTCCTCTCTTCATTGTTCTCTGCAGGATGCTCAGCGCTGCTTGCTGGGTCTCGTGCCTCGCCACTCGAGGTCCGTAAGAATGCCCGCGCGACGCAATGCACTGCTGCGCGCTCTCGCGTGGCTCTGCGAGTCACGGAATTGAGGCTGAACGGCAACGAGGATGAAAGGCATTACGACGCGGTGCTGAACAAGTACATGCAGACACGCGCACACACACATGCAGCATTCCACATGGCTGTTATGTACATATACACATACATTTGCATATACAGAAAGACATTTAGGACATGCGATAATACGTCGGGTGTCATGTCTCCCGGCCTGTGCAATGTGCGAAACCTTCGTGAATCCTAAGTTCTCAAGCTGCCCCACTAAGGGCTCAATATGGCCCGCAGACGGACAACATGCATGGAACATACGTGTGCACACACATGTAAGTACATCTCTCTCTCTCTCTCTCTCTCTCTCTCTCTCTCTCTCTCTCTCTCTCTTTATATATATACACGTACATATATATATATATAGCAGCAATGATGGATGCTGCGCTGCTATGCTATGCTATGCTATGCTATGCTATGCTATGCTATGCTATGCTATGCTGCGCAATGCTACGATGGGCTTGGCTAGGCTAGGCTATGCTATGCTATGCTATGGTATGCTGCGCTATGCTATGCTGCGCTATGCTGTGCTGTGCGATGATATGCTATGCTATGCAATGTTTTTGCTTTGCCTTCGTTTTTGCCTTCACTTTTGCCTTTGCGTTTGCTTTTGCTTGGCGCCCTGGGGGCGCAACTGGGGGAACCGCGCGTTTGCTTATACCTTTGCTGTTGCTTTCGCTTGGCCCCCAGGGGACTTGGGGGACCGCCCGCGGCGGTTTGCGCTGCCCGGCCCCTTTAAGCCAAGCGATTAAGAACCCTTCTAGGCAGAGCCTAGGTAGGGAAACGTATAGAAATGGAGCCGCGAACGCCGTTTTTTTTTTGGGGGGGGGGGAGGCACATGGGGGGAACATGATAGCGCGATCTGGGCGGAGGTGGAGGAGGGGGAATTTAGAAGAGGAGGCAGAGGAGGAGGAGGAGGAGGAGGGCAATTGGGATAGAATGAGGAGGATGAGGAGGAGGGAGATGTGGGAGGAGATGGGGGGGAGGGGGAGGAGGAGGAGGGGGGGGAGGAGCAGGAGGAGGAGCAGGAGGTGGGGGGGCGCGCGCGCGTGTCACAGAGTTCTGGCGGCACCTCAAAGGAGGAGAGGAGGATGGGGGGGGGGGGGGGGGCGGGGGGGGGGGGGGGGATGAGGAGGAAGAGGAGGAGGAGGAGCAGGACGGGCAGGAGGAGCATAAGGAGGGCGACGACGACGACGAAAATAGTTAGCGTCTAACGTAGCCAACCTGATTTACATTCAAACCGCATAGTAAGGATGCGCAACCTTCCCAAGGGCACCCCTGCATCATTGCCTCCTCGGCCCACCCGCTCGCAAAGCTTCGATATGGGCGCCCAAGGCCCTTGCGTCATCATCCCGCATCCTTATTATACGGGTTGACAGTAGATGAGATTTCTCTCTAATCATCTCTCTGCACAATATATATGTTTAGGTGTACTTATCCTCTAATCAACATGTAACTAGGGGTGGGCATCCTCCTGTAATCAACACATACTTAGAATATAACGATCTTTCATTAGAGCGAGTTATTATCTGAACAACATAATCAGGGATAATCAACATAAGCGTGCTGAATTACACTCCCGAGCTAGCACAGCTACTGGGCTCCAGCGCGTTAACAGCAGCAGCCGCAGGCGCCCGCGAAAGGGGCGGGCGCCCCCACCCCGCGGGGGATCGACAGCTGGCTACGTGACTGGAGCAAGTTGGCGAAAAGGCTGCGGCGGCCATGTTTCGGAAGGAGGCGGTGCCTCGCCGTGCCCCCGCCCTCGAGCAGCCGATTCGAACCCAGGCTAACATTGCACACTCCGAGTTGCGATTCGTCAACAATGTCTTCAAGCTGCGGCCACGTTTTTCGAATCACAGTAAGAGGTTTCAGTGAGCAGCGCAGCGTTGTGCCGCCCCTTGGGGGGCGAGTTGGTCACCTGCGAAGAGAACTGCAAGCAGTTGGTTTCTTAGTTGCCAGTATGCAGGCCCCTCGGCCCCCTAGTCAAGGTGGCCTCCAAACCCTGTCGATCAAAAATGGCTCGACGGCAAGCCAGCTTTCATTTTGGACGTGGGCTTCTTCTCAGCAGAGAGGAGCGGCATGAGCTTAGTGCGTCGCAGAAGAGGTTGGAGTCTCGTTCGAGAGCCCTGCAGGAGGGCGCCAAGGACGCGCGCTTTCCTCGGCTCGTGAGACAGCGGGCAAGACTCGCCATGAACGCGAGACGCACGTCGAGTGGTTCACTTCGACGAAGTAGGCTCGTGCCGAGCCATGGGCAGCAGCGGCGGCGGCCCCCGCGTTTGCTCCCGCAAGGGGATCCGCTGCAGGCTCAGGTGAAATGGCGGCGGGAAGCACCGGCGCAGGCGACGAAGCAGCCGAAGCCAAGGCAGGCGAGCGGCTCTCTGAGCCTGGGGCCCCCGCTCCAGTCGTCCGACTCCGAGCTCCGACTGAAGGCGGACAGTCTTCTGGAAGGCCCCCCCGCCGACGCCTCGCGGCTTCGGCGCGGGGGGCGTCATTTTCGGATGTTCAATTTTGCACTGCGTGGCCCGGCGGCCCTTTTCCCGCCGGCCCCCCCCGACAAGGGTCGCGCCCGCTTGCCCCGTTTCCGCTATCATGGCTTTCGCGGAGTTGCGAGGCGCGCGCTCTGGAGGGCGCCAAGAGCGCTGCTAGTAGTTTGTCCGCCCCGCACCTCTCTGCAGGCTGGCTTCTAGTTTTGGTTTCCCCGGGGAGGTTTGTCCTGTGGCGGCTTATTCTGGCCAGGGTGGCCCTGCCGAGTTATTGTCTGGCCTGGGGGTTCGACCCCCCCACCCCCGGCCCCCGCGCGGCGCCCCCCCCCCTCCCTCCTGGCCAGGCTCGGGGGCCCGAGGAGCTAAGCTCAGTCCGGCGCCAGATAAGGTGCATCAGCCGCATTCAGCGGAGCGCCCTCAAGAAAGCTTTGCCGGACACGCCTGCCAACAATTGTGCTGGCTCAGAAGAACGCAGGCTCCATTCGGTTAGCGCGGGCGCCGGCAGCGCCGGCGGGGGCATTGCGATCCCTGTCCGCAATTGGCCGGCCATGTTCGGGCCGACGGAAGGCGCTGCGATCGGCCGGGGCCTTTCGGCGATGCCTTTCCTCCGTTCAATGTTGGGCCAGTCCACCTCCGCCACGCCGAGGGTCTGTTTGGTCGCAACGTGGAGATGTTGTCTGCTGTCGGGGCCATGATATCCTCGGTTCCGGGGCCTTTTGTTTTCGGCCAGGACTTCAACCTCTCCCCCAGGGCTCTCCCCGCCGCCAAGAACGCGTTGAAACGTCGGGGCCGGCTCTGGCGCGGAGAGAAGGCGCCTCCGCTAAGTGCGATATTTTACGCGGCAGAGGTGGCCCGCGCGGGCCCCGGCCCGAGCCGCCTCGTTGATCCCCAGCTTTCTCCTTCCCCTGCTTCCTTCGAAGCCCCGAGTTTCAGCTGCCTTCCCCCCTTCGCCGCCCTGCGCTCGGCCCCGGGCCCGGGCCCCCGAGCTGGAATGCGGTGTTGGACATCGCTCAGCGGCAGGGGTGCGGCACTTCGAGGACGCCGACCGAGTTGCGGAGCTATTCTCAGATGCGGATCATGGGTGGGCGCTGCTGGGGGCTGGCTTGGTTCGACAGGGGGCTCGGAGCAAGGGGCCCCGGCTGTCGCGGGAATCGGCGGCGGGGGGGGGCCGACCAAGGCGCCCGAGTAATTAGCGGGTCGATCCGCTGGCCCGCGGCTCCGACCAGATGTCTTGCAGAAGTAAACAGAGTTTCGAGCAGGCAGCCCCAGGCCCCCCATGCATCTCTCTCGCGCCCGCATGGCACTGTCGGGCAGCGCGCAGTGAAGCGCGGGGGCACTTCGCCGTCGCCGAGCGCATCGCGCAGCTGCGCGGCCAAGTCAACCGGGGTTAGGGTGCGAGGTGCAGCTGGCCCGCCTCGTTGAAGGCTAACGCGTGCAATCGCACTGCGCCAAGCGCTCGCTGCTGGCCCGGGCAAGGGTGCCAAGCGAGTTCAGTCGGTCACAGAAGATCCCGCGCCGCGGAAGCCAACGACTGCCCTGGTGGCGGACGGTTCGGCGGTGGCCGATCCTTTTTCGCTGCTTGCTGAAGACGGCGGCAGGCATCGAGTTTCGGGGGCCTGGAGCGCCCCCCCCCGCGAGATTAGCGAAATTCCCCCCGGGGCCACCCCCGAGCAGATTCGGTCGGCGTCCAAATTGTGCAAGGCGGCTTCTTCGGCAACGTTTGACGGCTTCGATTGGCGAGGGCCTGGTGGCCCTCGCAATGTTTTTTCAGCCGGCGAAGAGAGTGGACGCTCTCCCTCGCCAGATTCATGGAGTCCTTATTGCGCCCCTCGCGAAGCCCGCCCGTGACTCCAAGCCGATGGGGGAGCTCTGCGCCCGGCGAGTCTCGGGGCCGTCTCCGACGGTGCATCGCCTTATCTCGGGAGCAGCAACGCCCCCGTCGGCACTGCGCCCCAGGGGCCCTCGAGAGGGCGCCAGGCGAGGTCTGGCGCCGGAGTCCCGGGTCTGAAGCAGACGCCGCCCGCAACCTGAGCAGTGCCAGTGGTTGCGTTTAACGCCGTGCTCGCTTATTTTGAGACGATCAATCTCGCTGCGCTCGAGGCCCAGCGCCGCCGGCATGGCTTCTCGGAAGTCATCGCGAGAGCCGCCGCGCGTGCGCCGGCGCGGCCGTCTCCATCCCGCTGCGGGCCATCTTGAAGGGCCCTGCTTCAATTTGATCGGGGCCATCGCGGGCTGCAGCTTCGCGAATGCCCTCGCTCGCGCTTTCGCGATGGATGCGTGCGGTTCTCTGCCCAATTACTCGATCCAGAAGCTCGATGTCTACATCGGCGACGCTCGCGTCTCTCGCATGCGCGCCCAGAAGCAGGTCGTCAGGATCACCGTCTGTGCGCTGGCTGCGTTGCGCCGCGCCGTCGCCGAAGACGCGCGCCGCCGCCGCTCTCTTGATTAGGCGCGCGCGGCGGACCCCTGGAAGGGTCTCGGCGCTAAGGTATCGGGTGCTCTCGAAGAGCTCCGAGGCAAAGTTCCCTACTTGACGGCGAATACTGGGGTCGACCTGTTGCGCTGGCAAGTCGGCCGAGCCCTCTGGCCGCAACTCGACGCTCAAAGCTCGCGCCGCGCCAGCGCGCGGGGGGGCCCGTCGTCGCAGGGAGCGGCCCCGGCAATCGGGGGGAGCTGCGCTCCGGATTTTCGCTGAAGGCACCATCTCGGGAGAGGCCTATCGGGCGGGCGTCTCGGGCGTCAGCGACCCTCGGCTGCTGCCCGCGAGGAGACGGGCCCGCTCGAAGGTCTGCCCCTTCGCAGGGGGTCGCCCTCTCGCGGCGGCGAGCATCTGAGCGGAGGGCCCGCGCTGACGCGCCGCCGGGGCTCCGCTCTGCAGACGCGGCAGGGAAGTCTGGGCCGCTTGCGCCAGGATGTTTCAAGGGCCGGTGTCTTCCGTGGAATTGAGGGGCCCGCGGCGCGAAGTTTTTCTTTGCCGAGAGCAACGTGGCTCCCGAGGGCCCCACCCCCGCTTTGCGCTTCACTTTGCCCCGACTCGGATGGGGGGTGACTGATTTCACGACCGTCATGGGCGATGGGGGGTGCGCCGTGGAGCTCCGCGTGATCTCGCCCAAGCTCCTGGGGCCCCCGCGCAGCGATGCTTATCGTAGCGGGGGAGAGCTTGGACAGAGGTGTGGGGGGGGGGGTAATAGCGCCTGTCATGAAATCCCGAAAGCTGCGCGCAGGTCCAAGAAGTTCACTCCCGCCCAGAGAGAATGGATCCGCGCATGCTCGCGCGATGCTATTTGGTCTGCCGACGAGGCCAGCGCGCGCGGGTTCGAGGTCGGCTTCGTGCGCCCACTCTGTCGGCGAGCCCCCGACTCGGTCTGTCGCCGCATCTGGGCGCGCCAGTGCTCCGAAGGTGAAGGGTTGAGGGCTAAGCTGGCCCCTGCCCAAGTTGTCTCAGCTGCCTCAGCATCGATGGAGATTGAGGTCACTCCAGAGGCTCTGGCTTCACATGTGCAAGAGGGGATTTCGCTTACCCCGCCGACCACCTGCCCAGACCGCAAGTGGAGGGTGCGCAGGCGCTCATTCATATCCGGCAGAGTTCTGAGCTCGATAGCGCCTGGGGCCCCAGGGCCCCCAGGAATGGGGATACGCGGGGCCATATGTTCCTCGACAGGCCATGCCAAAGGCGCCTGATCAAGGAGTTGCCTGGGGCTGCGTGGCAGGTGAAAACGGCCAGCGACGATGGGAAGTGCCTTGGCGAGGCGCGTCTACGTTGCTAGTCAGGGGGCGCCCCCCATCCCGGAGCGGCATTCTGGGAAGATAGATTGGTTTGGAATGCTTGCGCAGGTCAACGGTTCGGAAGAAGGCGTGATCCAGGTGGCCGCGAGGGCCAAAGCTCATCTCAGCATCGATGAAGCTGGCCTTTCCCTCGCGAGACAGATGTTCACGCCTAGGTAGCAGCGAAGCCGAAATCAGTACAGAGAGGGCGACGCCGCGGAGTTGGTCGGCGCGGCGAGGGCGCACTGCGTCTCGGCTGCCAACCTGCCCCCCCCTGTGGCCGAAGCTTTCGCTGGATGGGCCATGCGTCCCCCCTGTCGTCGGGCCGCCCCCTGCCCCTTTGCCCTTCTGCCGACCGCGGCCCCCCCCCGTGGCCGAGCCCCCCTCCTGCCCCTCTGCCGACCACGGGTCTCGCTCACGTGTGACATGGGCGGGAAGGGTGGTCGGGGGCCCGGAGATGCGCGGTCTGTCTTAGGGGCAAGAGATCTAGGCGAGAGAGGCCCCCGCCAGGCGGGTGCCCTCAGGATCGTAAGTTGCACGCTTTGCGTCTCGATGCGCTTGGCCACAGGACTGCAGCGTTCGATTGATCCGACGGCTTTGTTAGCCGACTTGCGCGAGGCGCAAATTCCGTTCCACTGGTGGCAGAGTCAAAGGACTTGGGGGGATTTGTTTTCCCCCACCCCTCTCGCGCCGCCAGGTTCGGCTGGTCTGTTTTGAGGGAGTGGCGTCACCCGCGCACCTCCCGTCGGAAATTCGGGGTTATTGTGGACACGGGTAATTGCATTCCTAGTTCAAACATCTTGCTGTAGAGCATGCAATATCTCAGCCCGAGCACGGAAGTCAGGAATACCGTGGTGCCTGTTTGGAGCTTGCCAGTAAACGCGGTCGTTTGATTTAGTTCGGTGAAGTATTTTTTGACAGTGACGTGTTGTTGTCCGAGCCTGCGGCTTGGGCTGTTTGTCAAGGTGCTCGCGAAGGACAGGGGGCGATCGTCGCGACCCTCAGTTTCCTCCTGTGCGCCTGTGCTTCGGCATCCTACCGCGCACGCTACCCAGGATTCGTCTCCTGAGGATTAATTGTGGCAGGTGGGGTGGTCCTCAGTCACATCTGGGGGAAGAGGAAGTCAGAGCTGCAGGTTTCTCTCCAGAGGGGTCGGACTAACTTTGTCCACTCCTACCTGCAGTTCCCTCGTTGCGCGTTTTGACTCAGAAGTGACGGCGTCGAGGCGAACAACAAACAGCGCGCGTGCTCGCATGGCGTCCCCGCGCCCACACGCTTCGTGGTCGAATGAGAGCTCCATCCATGTCCTCAGCGGGCGTGCTCGCATGGCGTCCCCGCACCCATGTCGGTTCACCCCGTCCTGTTTATAATTGCATTTCGTTTTGGTAAGGTTGGGCTTTCCGCCAGTCGCCGAGCGCGTTCCATTATTCGAAAAGTACTACTCGCAAACTTCCCAAAACACATGTCTGCTTTGATGTATTTGATCGTAGATCCCCTGTTGGACCCAGGCCATTTGCGAGCAGCTAGTTTGCGAATAGTGGAACGCGCTCGTCTAGCCAGGCTAATTACCATAGTCGTGGCCGTTTGGACAAAAACTGTAGCCGGCACTGTGGCGAGAGTACACTGTTCGAAAACGAATAAAGTGTGAAGAAATCTCGGACGAAACTGCTGCCAGACCAAACGTCCCAGGGTTCCTTGTGCCACCTGGGGGGCTCTCTTGCGATCTTTTCCTGCCACCGCAGTAGAACTTTCCAGCGAAAGGCTACTAGGGAAAACTGCAACACTAGGATGTCAGGGTCGATCTTCCTGGGCCGAACCTCTGGGAGCCTGCGAAGCGCAAGACTGACCTTTCACCGGAGTGACCTGTGGTGCGGGCCCACAGGGGCCCTCCCGGTATTGGCCTGCGCGCTTGGATGTGGCGCCCCCTGCGGCCCTCTGAAACCGCACCACAAAGGTCAGGGGCAACGATCGGGGGGATAGGTATAGGGGGGGACACGTTGATTCTCTCATTGCCCACTCATCCCCGATAGGGGCCCATAGCCCCACCCCGCCCAGGAACGTGCGGATTCACAGTCGGGGGCCTAAAGCCGCTCTATCAGCGATGTATTGCCGATTCCAGGTCGATGTCCTCCCTATGCCTATCATCCCGTATCGCTGCCCTTCAAAAGGTTTCTTTTAGGGCCACTCCTGCGCGTAGCCGGATCGGATCGACTCGGCAGGAGGAATCATAAAGCCCCGCTCCGCTGGGGGGGGCACAAGTGTGGAGCCTAAGGCTTCACAAAACATGGTGGCAGTATCTGTCTCCCACCTTGTCGGGCGGCCGAAAACCGCCCAGGCCCCAGCCATCCACCGTGCGTGCAGCCGCGGGAGGGAGGGGGGGGGGGGCGAGGGGCCCCTGCCCCGCCAGGGGCGCGGTGCACGAGATGGGCCCCGCCGCGCAGGCGGCCTGGTGCGCGGAGGCGCTGCCGCACGTCCGGCGGGTGCTCCGCGGTGAGCCGCCGGTCCGTGGGGGGGGGTCGGGTGTTGCTAGAAGTGCCCCTGGCCCAAGGTACCCCTAGGATTCTCGGCGTGGCCCAGACGGCCTCCAGGGCACCCCTCACGAGGCCCAGAGGGCCCCGAGGGGCTCCAAAACGACGCGAAAGTCCGGGGACACCTTGGGCCAGGGGCACGTCTCGCAACACCCGAGGGGGGGTCGTCCGCCGCCTCCTCTCCCTCAACTGAGCCCAAAGCTTCGAGGAACCGGCGCCTCGAGGGGGATCGTCCCGAAGGTTCGCCAGGGAGCCGAGGTATGACCCGAAAGCCAAGGGCACGTCAGGGGGGATGGGCTCAGGGGGGATGCATCTACACCCAATCGCCCACTCATCTCCGACATGGGGCCCGATGGCCCACCCCGCCTAGGAGCGTGCGGATACGCTGTCGGGAGCCCATCGCCGACTCATCGATGATGCATCGCCGATTCCAAGTCGACATTTCCCCCCTGAGCTGGTCCTCCTCCTCGTTGCCCCTCGATGGAGGAAGCGGGTCCTGCGGGAGACGGGCCCAGGCCTCCGACGCTGTGGTGTCTGCAGCCTGGCCCGGACGGGTCGTCCGCCGTCCGCCGCTTGGCATGCACCAGGCGATCGCAAGCGTGCATCAAGGGGGCGTGGATTAGTGATCGTTTTTTAGTGCGTTGTTTTGCCGATCGGCGCGGGCCCCCCAATCCCCCTCCCACGCCGCCCCATGGAGTAGATCTTGGCTGTTTTTTTGCCCCTGTTTCGAGCGGGTGGAGTCTCCCCCATCTGGCGCACGGTCCCAAACAGTCGCACCAAGCAGACGTTCGGAGCCAGACCACCCCCCATCCCCCCCCTTCCGCCCAATGTCGAAACGCCGAACAAAAAAACGTTCACTTAGCGAAGGGTCCCGTTTCCATTGGAAATCGATCGCGGATTTCCGCCGCCGAGCGAGGCGGCACCGGTCGCACTTTGGGGAGGGGATCGTCAATCCGTGTTTGCGCGCCCCCGAATGAAGGGGATTGGGGTGGGCCCAAACGGTTCGGTATCTGGGCGTTGCATTTTTTCTCACCAGGCGTTTTCGCCCGGTGTCGGGCCCCGCGTGGCCATCACAGATCGATCCGGCCTTGCACACGCAACAGAAAGATGGGCATATGGTTTCCACCGTGATGTTTGCGCGACGCTTTTACCTAACAGCGAAGACTGATAGGTTTCTAGTGGTCTCAAAAGAGAGCATCATGACTCCCCAGGGGGGTCTGGGCAGATGCCGGACGGGTGCCGCGAGAATCCGGGGACTCCCGCGGGCATCTGGGGACTCCTTTTTTAGCCAACAGTAACGCACTTCGTGGTCTTCGAGTTCCCAGAACTCCATTCCTGGGCATGATTTTGAATGCCCGGAGCCAACTGTAGATCATTTCGTGGTCTTCGAGTTCCCAGAACTCCATTCCTGGGCATGATTTTGAATGCCCAGAGCAAACTGTAGGCCACTTCGTGTTCTTCGAGTTCCCAGAACTCCATTCCCGGGCCACATTTTGAATGCTGAGACAGGCTGATGCTGAGGCTGAGGCAGGCTGAGGCTGAGGCAGGCTGAGGCTGAGGCCGAGGCTGCAGGCAGACTGAGGCTGAGGCTGAGGCAGGCTGAGGCTGAGGCTGAGGCTGAGGCAGGCTGAGGCTGAGGCTGAGGCTGAGGCTGAGGCAGGCTGAGGCTGAGGCTGAGCTGGCTGAGGCTGAGGCTGAAGGCTGAGGCTGGGCTGAAGCAGGCTGAGGCTGAGGCAGAGGCAGGCTGAGGCTGAGGCTGAGGCAGGCTGAGGCTGAGGCAGGCTGAGGCTGAGGCTGAGGCGCAGGCTGAGGCTGAGGCAGGCTGAGGCTGAGGCCGAGGCTGAAGGCAGACTGAGGCTGAGGCTGAAGCAGGCTGAGGCTGAGGCTGAGGCAGGCTGAGGCTGAGGCTGAGGCAGGCTGAGGCTGAGGCAGGCTGAGGCTGAGGCTGATGCAGCTGAGGCTGAGGCAGGCTGAGGCTGAGGCCGAGGCTGAAGGCAGACTGAGGCTGAGGCTGAGGCTGAGGCAGGCTGAGGCTGAGGCTGAGGCTGAGGCAGGCTGAGGCTGAGGCTGAGGCTGAGCTGAGGCTGAGGCTGAGGCAGGCTGAGGCTGAGGCTGAGGCTGAGGCTGAGGCTGAGGCTGAGCAGGCTGAGGCTGAGGCTGAGGCTGAGGCTGAGGCTGAGGCTGAGGCTGAGGCAGGCTGAGGCTGAGGCTGAAGAGGCTGAGGCTGAGGCTGAGGCTGAGGCTGAGGCTGAGGCTGAGGCTGAGGCTGATGCTGAGGCAGGCTGAGGCTGAGGCTGATGGGCTGAGGCTGAGGCAGGCTGAGGCTGAGGCAGGCTGAGGCTGAGGCTGAGGCTGAGCAGGCTGAGGCTGAGGCTGAGGCAGGCTGAGGCTGAGGCTGAGGCAGGCTGAGCTGAGGCAGGCTGAGGCTGAGGCTGAGGCTGATGCAGGCTGAGGCTGAGGCAGGCTGAGGCTGAGGCCGAGGCTGAAGGCAGACTGAGGCTGAGGCTGAAGCAGGCTGAGGCTGAGGCTGAGGCAGGCTGAGGCTGAGGCTGAGGCTGAGGCTGAGGCTGAGGCAGGCTGAGGCTGAGGCTGAGGCTGAGGCAGGCTGAGGCTGAGGCAGGCTGAGGCTGAGGCCGAGGCTGAGGCAGACTGAGGCTGAGGCTGAAGCAGGCTGAGGCTGAGGCTGAGGCAGGCTGAGGCTGAGGCTGAGGCTGAGGCAGGCTGATGCTGAGGCAGGCTGAGGCTGAGGCTGAGGCTGATGCAGGCTGAGGCTGAGGCAGGCTGAGGCTGAGGCCGAGGCTGAAGGCAGACTGAGGCTGAGGCTGAAGCAGGCTGAGGCTGAGGCAGGCAGGCTGAGGCTGAGGCTGAGGCAGGCTGATGCTGAGGCAGGCTGAGGCTGAGGCTGAGGCTGATGCAGGCTGAGGCTGAGGCAGGCTGAGGCTGAGGCCGAGGCTGAAGGCAGACTGAGGCTGAGGCTGAAGCAGGCTGAGGCTGAGGCTGAGGCAGGCTGAGGCTGAGGCTGAGGCTGAGGCTGAGGCTGAGGCTGTGACTGCGACTGCCGTTGCCACTGCGACTGTCATCGCGAATGCGACTACGACTGCGAGAACAGCAGAATTGTACAACTGATTTCTCATCTGAATCTTAAGGGGAATGCTTCCAGATATGCTCCTACACATCGCTATTAGGTTGCTTTGCTGGGATACTGATTTCTGGGATAACGTCGGATCTCAGGGAAATTCGGGGGGCCCCCCAAACGGTGCGGTGACCACACCGTGTGGTCAGTCAGTGGAGAGCCGGGGCGGCCGCACGGCTTCGGGGCTTGGGACGTTCTCTGGGGGGCGCCTCGGGCGACTGGGGCCTCCAATGTCCCAAAGCCGTGCGGTGGTGGCTGTGGCAACTCCCAGCTGACGCCACTTGTGTACGACTTGGATCTCACCATCATCTATGCGAACGTTCGTTCTTTTAGCGCCCACAGTGGCAAACTGTCTGCTCGTCTTTCGCTTTTTGCCTCTCTTCCTCATGCCGCATATCTGTCTGAAACTTGGCTTCGTGCTGCAGTATCGCATCCTCAATCGCACGGCTGTGTAGCATTAGCGAAAGAAGATAGTAATCAGCAGGCACGTGGTGTATTTATTTATGTTATTGATTATTTAGTTTCCTCTTGCTCCTTGCTCCTCGCATCTCCTTCTGCAGATTTAGCTTGGATTTTAATGCGTTGCAGTTCCAGTCCATTGTTGCTTGGCTGCCTACACAGACAGCCCCGGTACGGGGAGGCAGGCTCCAGAGATATCTTGCGGCAGGAATGGAATTTCTTCCGGGCCAACGCAGTCAATACAGTGACTCCAGAGGGTTCGCACCTTTAGCGTTTTGTCAACGAGGGGGGTCTGCAGCAATGCGTATGTTCACCTACTGGTATTGTTTATTGGCTCGATTTGATTTTAAATGACGCACGTGACTCTCTGAAGGTGGAAATCTTGCGCGAGATTACAGACCATCGTGCCCTCTCCATTCGTTGCTCCGCTCCCCCTCTCACGCTTGAGACTGTTAGGAGGGACGTTGAGTTATACGGCAGTGCGAATTGGCGCGGCTTGAAAGCATGAGTTCGTGGTCAGAGCTGGGATTAGATATCCAGCGGAGAAGCAGACGCAGTCATCCAGCAATTCACGCATTTGTTGCTCCAATTCATCCGCAGTTTTTTTCCTTCCGCTCTCGTGTCCTACCGGCCATCGCACCCCTGGCTCACACACGATTGCGTTCACGCTGTTCAGATGAAAGCAGCCGCTGCCGGCACATATGCTTATCCATTTCAGCGCGTGCGATGTAGCGAGAATTTGATGGCTGCCCACCAGAATCTTATCATGCATGCGCGCTTCCAATTGTCGCAACAACGACATGGAAGCAAGATGTAGTGGCAGCTGCCAAAGCAACTAGTATGCAAGAGTGGTAAAACGTTATGTTCCCCTCTGGAGAGGGACAGCGGGAGCTGGGCTGTCCCGGCGGTAGGTATTGCCCTGCTCGGCGCGCGCGCCGGCAATCAGGTTGCTCGTAGCCCGAGCCAACTCTGCTGACGCTGTGGGCGCCTTCGCCTTCGGCCGCGACGGAAAAAGTAAGCCCATCAGCCTATCCAGAGACGATGCCCAGAGGAGTTGCCTCGATCAGGAAAGTGGGCAGCAAGCAGAGAAAGCGTCCCCCAGTGGAGGCCTTTTGGAGCGTCTTGGGGGCCTCTTGGCGGTCTGGAGGCCTCTTGGAGCGTCTTGGGTGCCTCGGGGAGCTTCTTGGGGTTTCTTGGGGGTCTCTGGGGAGCCTCTTGGAGGCCTCGTGGGCGCCTGTTGGGGCCTCCTGGGCGCCTTTTGGGGCCCTCGTGAAGCGCTCTTGGGAGCCTTGGGAGCGCTCTTGGGGCCATCTAGGAGGACATCGATCAAACAAGAGGGGAGCTTTAATCAGCGTTGCCCCCCCAAGAGGCCCA